TTTAGTGGGGTCTAACATATTTACTTTCATATCTGTCCATCTGTCTGGCTAATTATTATGATTAAAAATTTTGCCTTAAGCATCTTAAGGCTTTGCTTTTTACTCGGCTCTTGGATTGATAATTCAAGAATCAGCTTAGCTTAGTTGATATAATTATTATTGTTTTGTGTTACAACTCTTCGCACATTTCATTTCATTTATGCTACGTTCAGCAGCAATTTGCCTATGGCTGCTACTCTATATATTTATATATGTATTATGTGAATGACATGTAATAGTATGCTTAAACTTACTTTTTCACCGATGCTGTATATTTTTCTTTACTTTTGAAATTTATTAAAAAAAAAATAATTAATTTATATTAATTCAATAATTTTTTCTCTTATTTTTAATTGAATTTTAAGGAAAATCGACTGGTAGTGGTATGCATTTTAAAGACTATCACGACTTGGATACAATATATAGTTTTATGCGTGAAGTACGCGGCAAATATCCCAATATTTGTCGTCTTTATTCCATAGGCAAAACTGTCGAGGGCAGAGACTTGAAGGTGTTAAGGTAAGTTTTCATTTTTTCTTTTTTTTTAAATACTAAACCAACGGATAGCCATGCAGGTTGTTTTTTTTTTTTTTTTTCCATAATATTTGCGTTACATGGAATTATTTTACGATATACTTTAATTACCGGCATGCTAATGGAATTAACACGCGATTTATATATACATATACATATATTTACATAACAATGGAAGTAAGCCGTTGTATGCGGTGCTTGGTACAAACGCACAAATAATTAAGTTTTACATTTAAATTCTTTTTGGAAAAAAAAAAAAAAAAAATTTTTTTTTTTTTCTTTCTGAATTAAACTTAAAAGTCAAGTTAAGCCAGCCGAATGCCTTTTATATGTTTAAGACGTAGGTGTCCTTTTAGTTAATCGGCTCGAAAGTGTCTCGCAAAGGCAAATCAATCGAAATACTTATGAGATTGTTAACAAATGAATGAAAACACATACACTAACGAATAATTACCAATAAATAGCTCATGAACGTTATGAGGGACAAAGTGTTTAAAATAACTTTAAAATCGCTAAACACTAAAGCTGAACATTAACAGTCAGTGCAATAGTTCAAGTTAACATCTCTATCTCTCGTTGCGAACTTTATTACTTCGTGCGCGCAGTAGATACAACAACAACAAAAAAAAAAAAGCAAAAACAAAAAAAAAAGAACAAATAAAGAGCCTATAATTAAACACTATTATTAAATGCCCTACACCACTTTGCTTATACAGCTATTGCTAGAACGGCTTTTGAAAATAAAATATTATATATGAAAAATGGTCAAGAACGGGGTATGGACCGGTCCGAATCAATTTCAGGAGCGTTCGTTCTTGAATCGAATAACTTTGGTATACCAAATTTCATTGTGATCTATACGTTAAACAGAACAATACAAATCAGGCGGACGGACAGACAAATAAACTTGGAATGACCGTTATAAAAAGTCATAGGTCTACCTCAACTTGTCCGTAGCGCTAGATATGTTCGTACAAATGTAATATATTCTTATACTACAAGCGGTGTCGAGTATAATAAGGAAAACCTATAGTGTATTCCTATATAATGTAGAAGAATTTTTTTTTTTATTTTTTTTTTTTTTATAAATATTTTCTTTCTTTTTTTAAGGATCTCTGAAAATCCTCGCGATTATAAGAAAATTTGGATAGATGGTGGTATACATGCTCGTGAATGGGTTAGCCCCGCTACAGTTACTTTCATACTTTATAAACTTTTGGCTAATTGGACTGATCAACCAGATTATATTAGGCATAAGACATGGTATATAATGCCTGTTATGAATCCCGATGGTTATGTGTATAGCCGACGCGAGAATCGTTTATGGCGCAAAAATCGTTCACCATCTAAACACCAGCAATGCTATGGCGTAGATTTGAATCGGAATTTCGATATTGGTTGGGACAGTTATGGTTCGTCTACTCATCCTTGCAGTGATACATATCGGGGTCATTCTCCTGCTTCTGAGCTTGAAACTCAAGCTGTTGTTAAATTTTTAACTAAACGAAAATTTAATCTACATTCCTATCTAACATTTCATAGCTATGGACAATTGATGGTTTATCCGTGGGCTTATCGCGCAGTCAAAGTGAAAGATGCTAACATTTTGCAAAGAGTCGCCAATACCGCCGTACAACGGATTGCCAAAAAAACTCAGCAAAATTATAGAGCCGCCGCTACTTATGAAGTTCTAGGCATAGCAGGAGGTGGCTCCGATGATTGGTGCCGCGCTATTTTGGGTACCCCATACGTATACACCGTCGAGTTGAGAGATCGCGGGCATTATGGTTTCATTTTACCACCCGATCAAATCCTTGAAACCGCTCTTGAAGGCTACATAATTGTCGATACGGTAGCCCAAGCAATAAATTAATAAAAATAGAATGCATTCGAGAGATAAAGCTTGAGATGAAGTCGGAATTGGTATCACACCCCAACGAGGATGTTGCGAGAGCAAATTTTAAAAAGTATTTTACCTTGAAGTGATAGATGAAATTAAATAATTTTTAGGAAAAATACTATTTGTGTATTTAAATAGTTTATCGGTAATTTAAAAAAAAAAAAAAGAAAGAAAAGCCAGCCTTATAAGATATACAAAAAAAATTTAATTAATATTTAAACAAATATCTCAAAATATATGTCTCTTTATTTAAACTATCGCAAGCATCGCAAGTATGGATGGGTTAACGCACCCTTACAGCAAACAGAAATATTTTTACTATTTCTAATACCTAACCCCTAACTAATGCATGGTCTAAGCTCCAGATCATTACCGAAGAAAACAGAGACGATGTTTAAAAGGTAAAAAAAAAAAGAAAAGAAACTGATATTAAGGACATTTAAAAATTCTCTCATTTCAATCGTTTCTCGGACAGAAAAATTTTACGTTTTTGTACTTACCGTATCGGTGCCCTCGTCGGGCTCTTCACCATTCAATTGCTGTTGCGTATCAATATCTTTACTTGTATTATTGGCACTAATTACGGTGTTATTGCAATTGAATACCTGCGGAGCACTCTCTTGTGATATAAGAGATTCAGTGGGTACATTATCAGCGAAATGATTAAATTTGCATTCTTCATTTGCTACAGTGCTGGTCAATGTATCTGAATCGGGCGTAGCGACAACTGTAGTAGCAGAAGACGAATACGAAGTGTTCTTGTTGCCGTTAGATAGTACCATCTTCTCAGTTTTGGGAGTTTGGAAGCTTTTACTTTTTACTTTGACTGCAGAACTTTCTAACGTAAAACTGCTTTGGATGAATGACGTATGGGAGCTGTGTTTCTTTTCTAACACGTTTTGATGTTTTAACAATAATTCAGCTTCACGTAGCAATTCATCAACGCTGCGCGTGTCTGAATTATCCGCCAGACGACTAATTTCCTGAAAAATACTGTCGGCATCCGCTTCACTGTCATGATCATTGTTTACATTCGATGAGGCACCATTTTCATAGCAATTTTGCTCTTGTTTTAGAAACTCTAATATGCTACTGTTACTAGTGATATCCTCAAAATCCAATAAGGAGCAATGAGATCCCGATATTGAGCTTTGATTACTATCACCTTTGTAGGTGGGCGTGGCATCTGTATTAAAATTACTAAAAGTTCCCTTGCTTTTCTGTTGAGCGGTTTTATTACACAATTCCGTCGACGAAGACGAACTGGTCGTTTTGGGCATCAAAACTCTAGACATGACAACGTGCGGTTGTGTATATATATATATATATATATATATATATATATGTATGTGTGTGTGCTATCTCTTTTTTTTTGCAATTAGATTTTTTTAATGAGAATTTTTTGTATATGCAAATGCTGCGGTTTTTTTATTATATTAATTTAAAAAAATATTCCGAGGAGATAAATTTTTGACAATAATTTTTTGTTATGATATATGCTAAATTTTTGTTTTTTTATTTTATTCTTTTCTTGTATACATTTTATTTTTTCATATTTATTATCACAAAACAAACATAATAGCTAACTTATACACATTTATTTTTTTTTTCTTTTTTTAGTCACCAAAAGGACGGTTTTGCCCTATAGAGAGACTGAAACAGACGAGTCTGAATGACGAATGCCAGTGCGGGCAGCAGGATACGAATTGTTACCTAAAAGGACTTCGCGTCTTAATTACTATCTTTTGTTTTGTTTTCGTTTTCCATGCAATGTTGCCAATGCTTGCGAATATCAACAATGCATCATATCGTTCATTCGACTGCGCTATTACTATTCTTCTTCGCTAGCTATTTTTTTATACAAAAAAAAAAACCACATAACCAAAAGAAAGAAAATACTTTTAAAATTCATTCTCATTGATTTCAAGTATTGAAAAAAAACAATTTTTTGTTTAATTTATTTAAAATCAAATCTATTTATTTAGTTTTAAAGTACTAGTATATATATAAATAACCTATTCCATGAATTTGTTTAGTAATTCGTATCGCAAAAACATCGCCACAATCGATAGCGTAAAACTATCGGTTACTAAATTTGCCAAGTTTACCATCTTTATTAGCAAAAGAAATTTTAAATGAAAAACTTGTGTGAACAGTAGATTTTGTGAAAGAATTCCTTAATATTACCGTAAAATTGAACCCATATTTAATTTAATTCCTAAAGAGAGAGAAAGAAAAGTACAATATAATATGTTGTATTTGGAAGATTACTTAGAAAGTAAGTATATTGTGAAAGTTATATTGTTCGTCTTCCAAAAAAAAGTACTGAGGTAATCGAATGGTTGCTTTGTTGTAGCACGTAGTTGTGTGCTTAGGTAAATAATTAAAGTGAGGTTATGGCTTATAGACTCATGTATATAAACAAATGTTTTTTTTGTAAAATAATAATTTTGTATGGTTTGCAGTGATTGAACATTTGCCCCAAGAATTAAGGGATCGCTTTACAGAAATGCGTGAGCTGGATTTAACGGTGCAGAGTGCGTATATTTGTTAAATTAAATGTCTAGCTCTGTAATAATGGAGATATATAAATGATTGTAGATAGTATTGATTCTTTGGAGAAAAAGACTCGTACATTTTTTATGCAATGCAAACGCGGCGAGTTACAAGACGAAGCTGCCGAAAGTGAATTTCAAAACCTGCGTCGCGAATATTATAAAGTGTTAGAGGATGCCGACGAAAAGGTGACTATTGCTACACAAATTCATGAATTGGTGGAACGGTATTTAAGACGTTTAGATAGTGAATTATTTAAGTTTAAATGTGAATTAGAGGCTGATAATAATGGGATAACGGAGATATTAGAGAAGCGTTCGCTAGAAATGGACGGCGGCTGCAGTGCGGCTACCGCATTGTTAAGCATTACGGGAATGAATCAGAAAGAAAATCGTTTTTATGGCGGCCTTAGTGCGGCTGTAGCACCGCCGAGTAGCAGCACGCACAGTGTATTGATAGGAGGGGCTGGAATGGGTTTGGGGGGTATTTCTATGCCCGCTACTCCCACAGGAGCTACCAAAGATAATCGCTATCGTACCCCAAAACCAGAAAAGCGAAGAGATAGTACTTCCACATTATTGGGCGCGGGAGCTGAGAAACGAGCCAACCTTGGCAACAGTCTGACGCAAAGTAATCCACCTGTAGCAGTGGTTAGACCTATAACGCCTGGTATGAGTGCCGTTTTAAATTCAACTACAGGCGGTGTAGGTGCGCCTACGGCTGTAACTTACAACCTACAACAAATAAGTGGGTCAGCCTCGACGGCCATAGCAGCTGCTGCCTCGCAAGCCATAGTGGCAACACAACAAATGCAGCAAGGTCGTCGTACGGCTAGTCTTAAAGCCAGTTATGAAGCTATACACGGTGCAGGCGGTGGACCTACTGAATTTTGGATAAATCGTGATCTGGCAACAGCTGCAACGTCATCATCAGTAAGTCAGCATACATTAAATGGTTCTACCAACACAGAAAAGACCAAGAAGAAGTATGTCTCCAAGTATTTGAAACTTATGATTTTAGTTGGACAGATAATTACTTTTATTACAGAAAATTGAATTCCAATATAACCCATGGAGTGGGCACAACAAGCGTCCCCAATGCTTCAACAGGCTTAAATTTGGGTTCTTCATCATCTTCTATAAGCATGGATTCATTGGATATGCTTTCAGGTTCAACCGGAACTAATTTGAATGTACCCCCTTTAATGTCGAATGGTGGCCATATAACAGCTTCCTCTACGACTAACTTAAGTAACGGTTCATCCCGTAGCGGAGTAACTTCTAATACTTCCTCTGGTTCATCGGCTGGCACAGGTATATCCACAGCTCTTACACCAGGTTCAAATATTACATTAAATGAAAGTGGTATGGTAGTAGAGCAAACACCTGAAGGAGAATGGTCCTATGATCCGAATGAACCACGCTATTGTACCTGCAATCAGGTTTCATATGGCGATATGGTTGCTTGTGATAATGACGCTTGTCCATATGAATGGTTTCATTATCCATGCGTTGGTATAACGCAACCACCTAAGGGTAAATGGTATTGTCCTAAATGCACTGCTTCCATGCGACGTCGAGGTAATCGCAAAAATTAGTTGGCTAAGTTCAAAAAGAAGAAAAGCTACTACTTAAATCAATAGAATATAAAAAAAGAAGCTATGAAGAGCTATCAAGAGAAAAGTTTTCTTAAAATTGAATAAATATAAAAAACAAAGTCATTAAAGTATTATATAAAGTTTAAAATATACTTATTTTAATATGTTAGACAATCGAAATTTGTTGAGGTAATAAATTACAAAGAAAATCACTTCGTACATAATAAATTTGACAAATTATTGTATATCACATGCCATCGACATCTATTCACGAATTTGTATGTTTCACATGCGACGTAAACACATCGTAACCCAAACTCACAATATTATCGTAGATAATACGGTAGCGTGTAGGTAACCAATAAAAATTTACGAATTGTGCTACAGGCCATACGACCCACTCGGCAACATATAATTTCCAGGCTTTTTCTCTCATTTCGTCCCATATTTCTCGATTGGCTTTTTTTTCTAGCAGACCCATCGTTATAAAAAAGCAAGTTATATATATGGGCGAGCCAATTACTTGATCTAAGAAGATTTTTTGGAGGACTACCTTGAAAGTGCGATTAGGTAGACGAGTATCCAAATATTGATACCAATAATGACACACTACGCCAACTGACAAGCCAGATATACCCATATGAAGGCTTCGTATAGGATTCCATTCTTTTAACTCGTCCGCATAGATCTCATAATTTTGCTCCAAGACATCACCCACAGCACCCAGAACGCAGGATATACCCATATTGGTAAACAGTAAATATTTGCTGCTAAACGCTTGAGAATGAAGACTTTTGATAACACGCACTGTGTTGTTTCTGGCTAATGATTTCCATGCTGATCTCAGCAAGATCAACATTTCGTTCTACGATTAGGACGGCGCACGGAATCCTATTGTATAATTATTATAATCGATATAAATTTTATTAATTACGCCGTCGTCAAATGGGGCCGATTTGTCACACCTTAGGTGCGCCAACAAAAACTCCGCCTAGTACAATTTACAATTTTTCACTAATAATTTTCTTTATTTCAAAAATTACGAAGGCTTCGTAAATATTTCGATTGTCAAAATGAGCACATTGTCACAAGTTAGTAGACAGTATTGCCAAGATTAATGGTTTTTTTTTTGTGGAAAGTTAGTTTGCGAATATGTGTACGAGGAGTACGGGGATTTATGATTCGCAACACAATTAATATAATTGTATTAATTTGTTACGCAAGTTCTCATTCTAGGAAATAAATCCCATCTAAATTGGAAAGTATCTATTTTAAATAGGATATGCTTTCTTCTTCCCTCTCCCTCCTATTCTTCATCAACTAATAACGTTTCTATCCTGAAAATTACTGCAGCAACAACGGACGGACGGATGGATGGACGAACATGATCAAGTCATTGGCATCTACTTGTGGAAGAAACTTGGTATGAGAGCTGACGAATAATTATTGTTGCTAAGTGTATGCGAGTTTATTTTATATTCTAGTGAAAATTTTATGAAAACATCACTTCTCTACTCGCCATTAGAGTATGTTTTGCTTTCCTTTTTTTTTTTTTCATATGAAGTTAAAAAAGGAATTCGAGTAAACCATGTTTTTGAAATGTTTAAGAGAGGCCTAAAAATTTTACAAGAGACTTCATTTTCTTTTTTCTGCAATAATCGAAAGAAAAAAAAATTAAATTTAAGCACCCAGACCCGATTTCATAAAGTTTTTTTTTGTGCAATATTTTATTAAAGTAAACTAATTGTAATTCATCAAAGGATTTCTACTGGCATTCACAAGATGTAATGTATTCGAGAGAGGCTATTTATATCTTAATAAATAAGCAATTTTTGCTTTTTACACAAAGATTAAGATTTTGCTGCCATATTTCTAGATGATCCTTCAAAATAATTGAGAAAGTTTCAAATTGATATCGGTAGGTAAGGAGATGAATTATAGTTCTTATATATTATTCCAACTGTCTAATTAATACTCTTAATTCGTCCAAGCTTGCAATCAACAGCGCGAGTGAAATGTTCACAACGCCATCAAAATAAGATACGGGAGCTGCACTTTATAGCGAACGCAAATGTGATGTGATAAGTACAAACATTTTAATAAGAATTTTAATATACAGCAAGATTGACCGCGGTCAATCTGCAACTCCCGTATCTTATTTTAATGACGATGTGAACGTTTCACTATCGGTCTCTCGAATTGAAGCAAATAAGTGAGGAAAAAAGAACTAGTATATCTTCTACACTATCAAACTAAATTGTAAAAATATAAGAAAGAAATCTGCTTTTATGAAAATTAAAAAGTAAGGTTCTATTTTCAGAAGCTGATTAAAAAGAAAAAATTTCAATTTAAAATAATATGTAAAATAATAAATGGAAATAAAAACAAAATTAAAGTTAACTTATTATGGATCTTCACTTTCGCATTCACGGTGTCGAATTAAATAGTTCTTTTTCTTGCTGCAATGGAACGATTTAAAGACATCTTTAATTTTCGTTAACAATTGCATCATCCACTCGTTGAATCGTTGATCGGTCTCAACGTGCTCCTTAAGCAAATCCAAGATGTCGGAGATCAGACACTTTCCACACTTTTTTATGTATTGATCATAGGACGAATATCTGGGAAAGAATTTTTATTAGTAATCATATGATTATCAGTAGTTTAAAGATGAAAATTAATACATGCACTTACTTATGTTCCTTAATCGAAGTGTCATGAAGTGTCATCCTCTGCGTCGCAGTCTATCACGTCAGGTCTTCTAAACATATTTAAAAACCAATTGCAAAATAAAGCAAAAACTTTAGATTCCAATTGTGTTCATAGGCAACGGTAACATCTTGGTTGCAAAAGTTTTACTTGGCGGGCTTAACTTACCTGCACAGTATTCACAAACTATTGGAATTTCAAATAATTTCATATGTGTAAGTTTTCGCGCCAATGCGAAAACCTCTGCGACTCATAATTTGCAATTTTTAATTTGTTTTTACTGTTAAAAGTGCTTAATTTTCCATTTCGCGTTATTTCATTAAAAATTTCATATAATTTTGTTTTTATATACAATGTATAAAAGCATTCGAAGTTGGACAATCTGTTAATCTAAATTTTCGATCTGTTTTCTCATGGGAGATTTTATTATTTAATTAAATTATTTACCGTAATATTCATATTCTTAAAGATATTAAAATCCATATAAATTTAAATGTTATCAATTTATTAAACGCAACTTGTGTCTTCTTCTTAAAACAGTGTTGTATTTAAAATAAAAACAGATGATTGGTTTAAAAAGTTGGAATTTCGCAATTATTATTATATATATCTATAATGGAAATAGCTGAGAAGATAAATTTTTCAGTTATTTGCTCAATATTGCAAAAAATAAAAGATACCAATAATAAAGAGAAAAAATTAAGATATATTGAAGAGTATTATAAGTCTTTTTGTAAATATCGTGAACAATTCCGTTTGGAGAATCACTTAAAACCCGAAGTGGAGGAGGTATATGCCAAATTCTAGATCTGATTACCTCCACGTATTCTACGCAAAATATAAACTTTATTTACAGGATGGAAGCAGCAGCTTTTATTGTGTATTACGGTGTTTAATACCCGGCGCTGATAAAGGGCGACCGTCGTACGGCTTGCAAATTCCTTCTTTGGGCAAAGTATATATGAAAATTTTGCAATTAGGAGCAAATTGTAAGTTATTTGATGCTTTTGTGACAGTATATTAACTGAAATGGGAAATTATTTTAGCCAGAGATGCTCAGATTCTAGAAGCGCGCCGGTTTTCGCCAGTTTATGGTGATTACGCCGAAAAGGTTTACAAAGTATTAAAACCTAGATGTAATCGTGAGCCTAGTACCTTTAAATTGAAAGAAATTCACGATATGTTGGATGTTATAGCGAAAGGTGATCGGTCTGGTAAGAGTAATTGCGAGAGCATCAAGAGCTAGTTCTAATAATAAATAAATAAATGTAAACTTAAAGATACGGAAAAGATTTTAACTCAGCTCTCAGAAAGAGCATCAGCTGTTGAACAGATGTGGTTTATTCGTTTACTTTTAAAGGGTATGCATTTATCCATAACGGATCACCAGATTCTCAATGCACTACATGAACAAGGCAAAGCATTTATGCAATCCTGTCAAAACCTTCTAATGTTTTGCTGTAAATTAGCTGACAATAAGTTGCCTTCCATTTCATTAAAGCCGCTCATACCGAAATCTGGCGAAGAAAATCATCCAGTCATTAGTATTTTTGAGCATATACGACCGCAATTGTGTGAAATCTTCCCTGGTCACATAGAAACTCTAATGTTTCAGGACGTTTTATACTTGGAAACCAAAATGGACGGAGAACGTTTTCATATCCATTACACGGAGGGAAGTTTTAAATATTTCTCACGTAATGGCATTGATTATTCGGATAGTTTCGGTGCTTCATCAGTGATACCAGGTAAATTAACTTCCAGGTTGCACTTACTGTTGCCAAATGATTTGGAGTCTATTATATTGGACGGCGAAATGATGGTGTGGGATATTAATCGTAAATGTTATCGTGAGAAAAGCGAAAATACGGACGTTAAACATTTAGCCGGCGATCGTACGTGGCAGCCATGTTTTATAGTTTACGATTTATTGTATTTTAACGGCGTAATATTGCTGCAATGGCCGTACATTAAGAGAGTGTATAAGTTAAGTACCATACTTAAGGAAGAAGAGGGCGTTTTGCAATTAATGAAGGCGCAGAAAATCACTGAAGTGGAGCAGTTTAAGAATTTGTTTCAAAACGCTTTGGACAAACAGCAGGAAGGAGTAGTAATAAAAAAGCAAAATGCTACATATCGGCCAGGTATTCGTAATGGCGGTGGCTGGTACAAACTAAAAGCCGATGTAAGTTAGAAAGGAATCTTAAAAATTAAGGAGGATTATTGTTGTGCTGTTAATATTTACAGTATTTCGATGGCTTAACCACAGAGTTTGATTTGTTGATAATTGGTGGCTTTTACAATCGTCGCCGTAGTTTTACGGAATCGTTTCTGTTGGGAGTGCTAAAGTATACTAACGAAAAAGAATATGAAGTCTGGAGTGTGGCTAAGGTCAATAACAATATTACTCAACGTGTTACCTTAAGTAATCTATTAAAACCGCGTTGGCGTCTAGTCGAAGAAGAACCGCCGCCCATGTGGTTTCACTATGAACAAGGGCATAGCGATGGACGACCTGATGTTTGGATAGATCCAGTTGAATCAGTTATTTTACAAATTAAGGCAACTGATTTAAACCATTCGCCAGCTTTTGCTTTAAAAATGACTTTACATTTTCCACGTATACAATGTTGGCGCAATGATAAACTGTGGAATGAATGCTTAACTTTGGATGAATATCAGCAGATAAGGCAGCAAAATAGTATGGGAAAGAGCATAAAGAAAATCGTTAAACGTCAAGTCAGTTTAGAGGACTTAATGGCCAGTCGGGTTAAACGTAAAAAAATGACAGCAGCACAAAAAAGAAAACTCGGTCTATTGTCCTATGAAAGAAAATTTGACGTTAATCAGGTAAAAAAATATTATGAAAAATCAATATTTTATAAAAATAAAAACTGGTTGCATTAGGTTGAGAAAGAAACGAATGTGTTGGGTGGCTTCAGTGTTTGCATACTCAGTGCCTCCATAAAGCAGGGCATAACACCCGAATATTTGAAAAAGATGGTGATACAACATGGTGGCAAGCTAGTTGAAAACCCCTTGCCTGACAATGCTAACTGTATAGTAGTGGCGGGCGATAAAACTTATCGCGTCCAGTCGTGTGCTGAGAAATACGATATAGTCACAATGGATTGGTTTATGAAGTTTTGTGGAAACCCTCAACATCCATTAAGACCCTTAGACATGGTAGTTATGACGCAAACACTGCGGCAGAGTTTTTCACAATTCTACGATAAGTATGGTGATCATTATACCGAAATGTTAATATCAACAAAGGAATTGAAACGTATTATGGATTATATGGAAATAGACGCGAACGAGAGCTTAAACGACAAGGATTTAATAGAATTAGAAAATAGTCTTTATAGTAGCGGTAATAGGGACGGAGAAAATAAGTCTCCAAATTTCTATCGTTTGCAAAACGCCTACTTTTACAGTAACGATGCGGAAAGCTCGTACACTCAATTGCTGTTTGAATGGCATGGTGGTCAAGTTGTTAACAATTTAATAAATTTACAGGAAATTCATTTAATTTTTATAAATACAGCCACAATGGATAAAAGTGTTCTAAATGATTGGCTAAAGACAACTTTTTCTCATTTAGTATCTAATGTCCGTGTTGTAAACATTAAATGGATTTTGCATTCACATAAAGAAAGAAAGTTACTCGATATCCAAGAGTACACTTGGCATGATTTTTAATTAGAAATTCATCATTAAATATCTTTTTTTAACAAGCGAAAAATAATTCCATAGTAAGCGATGTCGTAATGATTAGATAAATTATTGTATTCGGCTTTGATCGAATACTTTTCTTACTTTTGTTGTATATTAATAAATATATTTCGAAAATGTAAATATGTAAAAAAGAATGTTCTTAGTGCGTCTCCTTCTCTCTGTAAGAAAAATTAATGGAGCTAACAGCCCTTGCTAGCGGATACAATATGATTTTTCAATCAGACAGATAATGTACAACAACGAGATAAGATATGTCGAGTGTCTTGAAAACGTCACAAGTCTAACGATACGCACAAATCTAAGGATGTGCACAGAAATGCTCAGATTCTTACAAGTTGTAACGGGCAAGCATACGTTTTGTGATTTTGCTAACAATTTAAAATTGTTTGAAAAACGTATTCTCATTTTTATACCATCCTCCGAAGGATGGCGAGACACGAGGGGATGCTTCAGAGACTTGCACAAAGTCTATGTATTCTTCAACAATATCAAATACCAATCAATCAATATCAATCTGGTCATTTCGGTGCTTACGTCAGTCGCACTTTGTCTGATAAGCATGCGCGTAATCGCAAAAATTAAGATATCGCTTTCCAGTTTAGCAAAAGCATTGGAACGCTTTTCAGGTAGATTAGTATTGAAAATCGATGAAATCAGTGGAAGAATATGTCGCTGAGAACACATTTGTTTCCAAACGCAAAAAAAGAAAAAATATATCTGTACGAAAGTGGAAATCCCAATAGTATAGAGTATCGAACTTTCATGATACTCTATACCACTTGGTGGTACAGGATATATTAAGTTAGTGCGGACGTATGTAACGACATGGAAAATTTAATCCATCATATTTCCAATGTTGCTGTTTATCAGGATAACATAACAATTCGGGGAAAGGATTTGCAACAACACATGAAATCGTTAAAGTTAGTTTTTTTTAATAAGCAATAGCTTGGACCTGGGTCATATTGTTGCATATTAACTTGCAACAGTAAAGAACGGGAATCAGGAAGTTAATAGTAGCTTCGAAAATTTGCAAAGCGACCTATCCTAGATTATATTATTATTATTCTATTGTTTTATTGTCCTATCTGTTTACTATTGTTCCCTTATTATTATTATTGCTCTATTATATTATTATTATTATTATTGCTCTATTATATTATTATTATTGTTATTCTATTGTTTTATTGTTCTATCTGTTTACTATTGTTCTGCTATTATTATTATTATTATTATTATTATTGTTTCATTGTTCTTTTGTTTTATTATTGTTCTATTTCTATTTCTATTATTTTTATTATGTTCTATTGTTCTATTATTCTTCTCTTGTTTTATTATTTATTATTATCGTTTTTGTTGCTTCTTATTATTATGTCGCATATTATAAATTTTTTTCGCCTCTTACATAAATACCGTAAAGTTCCGAACAGGTTAAGTTTGTATTATGAAAAATTCTTTTATCTTTAGTAGAAATCTGTCATTCGCGTGGATATCTTTTATTCGTGTAACGCGGCGGTGATCAGAAAAAGTTGAAGAGGCAGGTAAGTGTTACACCTTCACCGGCGGAGCACTTGCTACAGCTGCGACAAAAGCAAACTCTACTGTAATCGATTTGTCTGATTGTTTGCAAAACAGTTTAAATGCACATTTGCGTTATATTGACTGGTTCCATATTTCTGTGATCTCATCTGCAGATTCTATTTCATAACGAGTTTCAGTTTATATGGGATTCGACGCAAAGTTTGATCAGAGAATCTTCTTATATTTCTTTCAGTGTTTTTCTTCTCTCCTTGATATCTCGTATCACGGCTGTCAGGAGATCCTAAAGCAATCGTCTAGCTTCGGCCCGACAGCGGGAAATGGCCCCTTGTGGGAGTTTCGTGCTGTCTGTGCTTCTTGCTAAAATCGCGGGAATATTAATTAGCTGAGGTGTTAGATAAGCCTCGTTCTCTTCAGAGGAAAGGAAGTACTATATACATGTTCTTATTCTAGAACTGCAGAATAGTCTTGTTCCCTTTGGGAAATGAGTGACGTTTCTTCACTCCGTGTGTCATCGGCCATCGTGGGATTGAGCCTTTACGCAAACCCTTTGCGAAAAAGTTGCTGTTGCCGTAGAATTTTCAATACAAGCGGACATTTGGTGTTACTTATCCGTCAACGTTTAAAACCCATAGTTTGTATATTTATTTACAAAATATGGACAGTAAATAAAAAAAAAAACATAGGCATATAGATTAAGTAAATTTTCTTTTCGAATCATATTTGCATCAGCTGTACTGCCTAGCGTAGTCCTGCTCAGGGTCAGCACAATTTGAGAGAATGGCTCAGAAAATGCCAGTGTTTAATGGTATTATTATCTAATACTTAATTATATGCTTAATAATAAGCTTTCTTGGCTGTTTTAAGTCTTGTAACAGGTTGTGCCTATATGTCGCCACGGTTTATGCAACTGTCGAGTTGCGGACTTGATTATTTTTAGGGCTACTTTAAAGTACCGCTTAACGGGGATCGGAGGCTGTTAAAGATGGACGCATTTGCTATTGCTGAGCATTTTTTTGTCTCACGGACACTCGACAGGCGATTACATCTAAAAGAAATGCACGCACTTTACCCTTATATGAATAGACGGCCGAACGACGGCCTACATGTCTAACGGACAGATCATAAGCGCTGGGCCAATTCTATACGCTACGCTACTTTTGGTCTCCTTCGGTTGACGATTTGCAATGGGAGACCCTGAAGTTCGCTGCAGTTCCTCTTTTTCTTTTCTTCTGTCCTCTTCTAAACGTCATTCAACGAGTTTCAACGAATGAGTTTAATAATCTCACCTCTTGTGGGATTACATTTGTAACAAATATGAGATACAACCACATGTTACATGTATGTTTGAATTCTAACTCGAAAAAATCCTTCTCTCGTCCCCCAGCTACTTAAGTACTTCAAGTACCTGACTTAGAAGAATTGACGCGATCGAAATTTTATATAAGCGCTTTTACTGAGTTCGAGTCAATTCTACCCTTAAAACTGGGTATTAAAAATGTGCAAAAGCATGACAAAAAGTTTAGGTGATAAAGAGAAATTTCTTGATTTAAGGTAAAGGAGACACTAATACGAATGTCTAGCAAACTTTAATTGTCGGTCTTATGAAATACATCATGGACGAATAGTAACGGGACTGTATATTTTTCAAAAATCTCCGCGCTGTGTTATCGACTGTTTAACTTTTGTGAACATGTCACATAAAGTTTGAGGAACCTGCCCTGTTTGGTAGGAGTAGGGGCGGTTTTTTTTTTTTTTTTATTTATACAATCTTGTCGCCATCAATCTTCAATGTCAATTTTAATAAGAATGCAAATGATCATTTCAAGATCATAAGGTGCTCGAAACATTAATCATAAGATTTTTGTTTGTTTTCACAGAGACATTTTTGTGCTCATTATCAATAAATATTCATGCAGTATTCACTAAGCTCTTAAGATATATTTTCATTGTTGCATGCAATAATATAATGCAAGCTATGTATATAATTACATAAATAAAGTTCATTGTGTACATCGTTTAAGATTTTAACTAATCATCATTTCGGGGTCTTTGCTAATACGTTGTCTACAATTTTTGTATTTGACACGAAACAATATATTAAAAAAAAAAATATAACTCATACGCCCCGGATATCATTCATACAATCTTTACAGGGTGATCAATAATGGATTATACATTTTTTAAAGATTTTAATCATAGACGACAGATTTTAAACCAAATTTAATCTTTCCGTTTAGTATTGTTTACCAAATCATCATGATAAACCACACAAGTGTATACAATACAGAAATTATTAAATTTTGGTTACAGAAATAATCAACTTATTCGGGTTAAGATTCGTGTGTTTGGGATAAAATTTATACTTGGTTAAATAGCAACGCATATAAGTAGCATTGGGCTTTTGGAGTAAAGAAAACTGACTTACTGATATTGTGCATAAAAATTAAGTGCTGGGCGTGGCTTGTCGATGGCTGTCGATGGATCGAATTTAATGAGATATGATTATTGATTTATTCTGGCATAATCTAAATGACTTCAATTTAGGCGATATGTGATTTTAATAACTAATTTTTAACTAATACAACACATCATGCATCCCCTGACACAATTAATTTATTGAAGCGAAAGTTCACTAACCCTGCATTCATCAAAGATGCCGCTATAAACTGGCCGCCAAGGCCATGCTACATAACTCTTTGGCTTACTCTAATGAACCATAGTGAGTTTATTGGTGACATAAGGACACATCTATATGAAAATATGGGAAAAAACTATTGCTCCACAATTGGAATTTTACTGAATTTCAAAGGCGGACATTTACATGACCACATATTGAAATAAGAAATTAAAAGTATATAGGCATACACGATCACCCTATAGCAAGAAGAAGCTTACAATCTGCAGTTGCGTACCTTTACTTTTCATTTGTTTTGCATTAATTTATAATTGTTTCATAAATATTCATATAAGTCATTTTTCTACCCTACACCACTCGTGATAGAAGGGTGCATTAATTTTGTGCAGATGTATGTAACGCCCAAAAAAACACTCACCTCTTTATTATATCGATCGATTCAGAGTCACTTTCTGTTGACTTCGAGTCACTTTCTGAATCGATATAAACTTATTTGTCCGTCTGTCCGTTTTCTTTTCTTGTGGCCAACTTACAGTCAGTAAATTTTGAAATATTTTGATGAAGTTTGATGCATTGATGTGCCTTGGCCTAAGGGCGAATCCTATTCAAAATGGTTCTGATCGGATCAGTTTTCGAACATTTTCCATATAATGTCGTATTTTGAAGAACCATTTAGATAAATAGCTCCATTAAGCGAAGCGTTATAAAGTATTCAATGGTGGGCCGTCGCCTATTATAGCGTTTTTACTTTTCTAAACTATAACGATAGACGTCATGCACTTCAACGGGCATAAATTCATAAAAGTGTAGATTAAGCTTATTTTTGTTTGGCTAAATTTTTTGGTTTTCGTTTTTAAATAACCAAAAAAAAAAAAAAAAAAAAACAAGTATAGATATATATATATATATATATATCAAAAAAGAATATGCTCATGTAAGTATAGATAGATGTAAGTGAATTTCAGAAATGATTAACTGAATTTTGAAAAATCAATCACCATAAAATAGCGGTTGAAAAAGTTAAATAAAATAAATTTTGAGCATTTCCTCAGCAATTATACAAAATATTGCGAATGCCTTTCGTATAAATTCATACAAATCACCGCCAACACCATTTATACAGGCGCACGATTTTATATAATACATATTTATTTATGTATAAATATGTATGTATATATGCGCATATATAAGTACTCAATATGATCGCCGTTATCATTTTATGCAAATGCATTCATACCGGAATGCGTGCTCCACGCTTCGTTATAATAATAATAAACGTAATGGTTTTTCATGGCCTTTGAATTTTATCATTTAAATTGCGGTAATTTGTTTTAAAAATGAAATTGTGGTTTTTTATGATTATGCTGTGTGTTTTTTTCTTTTTTTTTTTGAACGTGAATCATAAGAACGGGAATGAGAGGAAAAGTGATTTTATCTTCTTTTCCATATTTTTCGGACATTATCTTTATATCTATTAAAATAAACGAATTTAAATGAATTTTTTCACTCATATATGCATATGTATGTTTAAAAATCATATAAATCTGGAAAATGTGCTTTGTTTCTTTGCTCGCGTACACATAATTGATGATTGCTCGTTTACGAAATTTTTGATTACAAGACTCAGCAAGACACTTTAAAGAGTGTATATAAAATTTATACATATATGTACTTGCTGTGCGCTATCCTAAGATTTTAAGTCGAATTGACAGTTTGTTCATTACTCTTTTATTATGTCCTTCAATCATTGTTTAAATAAATATAAATTTGGAATATTTCATATTTGCCATTAGTAAAGCATCAATTTATCAGATTTATTATGCAAAAGTAAGTATTCGATTACTAATCGTTTTTTATAGATATATTAGGTGCTTGCATGT